GAGGCAGTTGGTCAAGTGTGTCACCCCAAGTCAGCTGGAGCCACTTGTCGCCATGTATTCAGATGCAGTGTGGTGAGGGGACTCCCTTCGTTTTTCTGAGCTCCCATTTCACCATTGTGAAGGGGTAGAGTAGCCTTTATTTATGAAAGTTGTGAGGATTAGGTAAGATAATTCATGAGCAGTTCTGAATCATTCTTGCACACAACTGTTTCCAGAGAGGTCCTTTCCCCACCTCGGAGTCCCGCAAGGGTGTCTGTGTTCCTTCCTGTACCCACGTCGGTTCTAACTCATAGTAAACCATTGTTCATCGTACCGTCACTGCACCAGTATTGCGTTTACTGCCTATGTTTTTGTTTTGGTTTGTGCAATTATTTTTTTTTGAGATTTGCTCATAAATCTATTCTTATACAAAATGTGGGAACACTGAAGAAAGGTTTAGCAGAAGCAAAGTGGAAATGAATGATGCTTAGTGTTTTTGTAAAGTAGTGAACATTTTTTTTGTTCAGGACTTCTTGCTTACAGAGTATTCTTCCTAAAAAATCACCTAATTTTCAATTTGCAGTATGAATAAATGATACCGTTATTTTTAGTCCTGGAGAAGCTGTACGAAAGAGATGTTTGTGTTCACATTTATACTACAGGAATAGACCTGGAATATCTTTCTCAGGAAAAAAACTATATAGTGATATTTAATATAATTTAGAGATGAATAATAATTTAATAATACCAGAATACTGCAGTCTTTGTATTCTTTGTGACAGTTACAAGCATGCAATAGCTTCCTTTGTAAGGTACATGCAGCTTCAATCTTCTCGCTTTAACATTATATCAGAAGTGTTTTACATGTTATACTGTTATCTTCCTGTTATAAAAGGCTAAGCACTATTTCTTTTATTTAAGGTATCATAATTTTAAAAGTATAGATTCTGTTCCATTTATTTAACGTATCAGAATTCTCTAAACACTTCCCACTTGAGCATTTACATTGTTTCTATACTATAATAATTATCAGTGATATATTATTTTTTCCCATAGTGTTTGTTTTCTGTTAAATTTGTAGAAATGGGATTCTGTTCAATGAATGTAAATAATTTTCTAATTCTTGTCCCCTCACATTGCATTATTATTCTGCAGGATGTGCTAGCCTCCACCCAACCTAAAATAATGTATTCATCCAAGAATGGACTGAAACCTCCAAAGCTGTGAGCCAAAGTAAATTTTTTCTCTTTTTAAGTTGAGTATCTCTGGTATTTGTTACAAGGACAGAAAGCTGACTGACACAGTAGCTGAGTCAGTAACTCACATGTGAGATCTGATAGGATTTGATGTAAGTAATCCCTGAAGAGAGAGGGAATTCAGAGTTCAGAGTCCATGTAGGGGTTGGAGTAAACAGAAAGCAAACAACTCTTCAACAAAAAAGCACAACAAAATAACAAATTCCAAAATAAAACCACCATATAACAAACTAGACAAGTATTTTGAATCATCTCTAAACACCCCAGAATGGGGGCCTATAAACTTTCTCTGTAAAAGTCCAGGTAATAAATATTTCAGACTTTGTGGGCCATATAGTCTTTGTTTGGAGTATTCAAGCTACTGAAGACAAATGGAAAGAATATAGTTGCGTTCCAGTAAAATTTTATCTACCAAAAGAGGCGGTGTCCACATTTTACTTAAAGGGTGTAGCTTGCCAATCCCAGCCCTAAAAGATAGGCAAATTACATTATTGAAAAGATACCAAGCTTATTAAGTTGAGAGCTCACAATAGATGTTTAAATTCTTTCTTAGGTTTTTGGCTTTAACTGATATTTCTTAGAAATGTTTCTTGTGCACACTTTAAGATACTCTGAGGTTACACCAAACACTAGCAAGGGTTTAACAACTGGTTCTCTTGAGAAATATAAAAGCTTTGCTGTGTAGTTTGCCAATTTATGGTTTTTGTGGTATAAATGCATCTATCACAGCCATCAATATGACTGAACAAAGGGTTGGGATGGCAGGCATTTGGAACTGGCCCCAGCACCGTTGTCAGGCCGTACATCAGTTTGGATTCTTTGGGGAGAAGTAATGAAAGTCTCAACTGGTTTGAATAGTAAATAAAATGTACTGCAAACGTGTACAGAAAAACAGAAGAGGATCAACAGAAAGGAGAGAGAGGGAAAAAGGGCTGAAGAGAGGAATTAAGGTGTGTTATGTGCAAGTTCCAAATCCCCATAAGGAGTGCAAATATTTTGTACTACAAATATGTACTAATAAGTAAAAGATATTAAAAAATAAAGTAGAAAAAGAAATCATGAAGAAGTATCATTAAAATAAGCAAACAAACAAATGTCCCATTACCTAACACGTTGGAGAGTGTGGCTCCAAGTTGGCTAGTAGATCAGTGAAGTCACTAAGGTCCTAGTTTCTCTTCATTGTCTATTGTGCAGTCCTTGGCTCGCTGACTTTGTTCTCAGGCAAGCTTCCTTCATGTGACCAGCTAGCTACTGTGGTGTTAGGTATAATGTCCAGATTCAAAAAGAGGGACTTGTTTCTTTTCTGTGACTTTTTCCAGATTATAGCTCATTGGATGCAGTGACTTCATATCCCATCCCTCATCACCCACTGACAAGATAGAGAGAGACCAATCACAGCCCATTCCTTGAAGCAATGTCCACTGGAAAGAGCTGATAGACACCTGATTAAAACCAATGGAGGACATGTGAACTCCACTACAAGAGGCAGTATATATGAAAGCAAAACTATACGTATGGCAGATCTTATTAAATATGAATCAATCTTAGTGTGTTTAAATTTGGGGAGGAGAAAGTAGTAGACTACTAAAACTACTTATCCATAGCATAAAGTTATACTTTGGAAGGACTCATCCTGAAGCTCTGGGGTGTCGGTGACTCTTTTGTGAGACTGGATTTACTCTGAAATTAGAGATAATTCTGCAACAAAGAAGTCAGTAATCTCTGGACATGTTTTAGAAAAAGGAACAATACCATTTAAAGAACTACATTAAGCTGTATCAGGCAGCAATTCATGTCATCTGTTGAGTATGCCAGCAGCAAGAGTTATATGTGTGAGATTAGACAAAAATGTTTATGAATTTCTACCAAGCAATGGGGAAATGTGATGGAAGCAGCGCATGGCACTGGTTAGGGGAAGTGGCCTTGCCCTCACACTGTGGTTCACATCCCATTTCACTTGCTTAATGGTGTTAATAATAATTGAACACATTACTTCATCTTTCTAGCCCAAATTTCTTTACCTGTAAAACAGGGGTACATGACCTCAAAATAAAATGATAGGAACTAACAGTGGTTGCTACATTGCATAGTGTTATCTTCAATGAAGTTATTTTGAGGTCATGAACCATTTTTGTTGTTTTTGGTTTTGCCTTCATTGTTGTTTTGTTAGTTTTTTTCTCTTTAAAATAAAAAACACAGGGATAACAATACCTGAATTCTGTGGTTGTTGTAAGGGTTAAATGAGAGACTATTTTTAATGCCCATTAATAGCAGCTTGGCCTGTGGAAATTCTGTATAAATGGTAGCGGTAAATTTTTTGCACTCTGCCCCTAAATCAATATTTTGACTATTACTCAGTCCCTAGGCTGGTGATGCATAATGTCCTCATTTCCAATAATAACTTTATTTCAATTTTTTATCACTATATGTCTGTATGACTAACATTCATTGTGGGGAATAGGTACATGTACATAACACATTTCAATTCTTTAAAAATTTTTTTCTTTTTTGTAACTATCAGATTCATTCATTTATGTCTTTATCAAGATGATTATCATAAACACATCAATAATGATCTTCCAGTACTTTTGATGGATTTATAATAATCTTCAGGTGTCCCCTTACTTCCTTTGTCCCCAATTCCTAGGATGGCTAAGGAGGTGAAGAGGGAGATTACAGCCTGACAATGCCCAGGAATTGTTGTTACCGCCGGCCTCACTGTTATTTGCTCTCTGAACTCATATGCCACCAGGTCCAATGTTTCAATCTTGTAAAATCTGTCATGAGCCATTTTCTTAAGAAAGCTGTGGTCTTTAGCACACAGCTCATTAGGTAGTTCGCTTGGCCTGTAACTTATGTAGTGTATGGTAGTACATAGTAACTGTTCACCAAATAATGCACACTTCATCATGTTTGAAATCATGTTTCATTTAATTTATATTCAGATTTCTTCTGGAAATTTAATAAAATTGTATCAACAACTGGATTATTTGGTCAAGCTAAAAGAAAAAATATTAATCAAAACTCTTATCTTGCCCCTTAAAAATGTGTCCTTAAGTGTAATTAAGAAGGTTATTTAACGTGCTGAGGAATATCTTAAGGAACAATTTATCTTGCAGTTTCTAGGGCACCAGAATCACGTCATAGTAGATAGATAGTGTGGTCCTCGGCTGACAGCCTCACAAACCTGTGATGGATGTTAGCCAGACTATTCCTAACTGGAGGGGCAACTAGGGAAGAAGTTGCCTCTAAGCTCACTTGGGCTATTGGGAGAAAAAAATCCTGAGAGTTTACCTTTTTATTTTCTTGTTATACATGGGATATTCTTTTTTCCCACTTTTAAAAGAATTCATGTTATGTAAAATATAATAATAATACATTCATGGCAGAAAACTGGTACATGTATGTATCGTATCTTGATACTTTTTCTCCTTTTTCTTCTTTCCTGTCAGTTAGAGGCTCCACCCAGTTCCCTCAGGCTGCTGTGTGGCCTCTGCACAGGCAGCGTGCAACATGACAGCTTATTTCTTCAGCTCCCATAGGAAAGTGAGAGTAGCAAGACCGAGTCTTACATAACCTGGTGTGGTCATGGGAGTTGGGTCGCATCACCTGTGCTGTTTTGTTGGTTAGAATCAAATCACAGGTCACACCCACGTTTGGTTACAAAAAATCATATTAATAGGAAACTAATACTTCTTACCAAGTGAAAAATATATCTTTGCAAATGACAATAAAATGTAAATATGTCCACATTTTTGGTTTTAGATGGCCAATAACCCATGTGCCAGGTAGCAGTCTCTGCCAACCTTGAATGCTAACAGGAAGACACTGGGAAGCAGACTCTTCCAAGATCATAACTTGCTGTTGGAATAACTTGGAAAAGGAAATAAACAATTGAAACCATGGCAAAAGGACATAGAGCTGGGTCCACCTCCCCTCCAGATGGAGGCTGGGGCTGGATGATTGTGGCCGGCTGTTTTCTGGTTACCATATGCACCCGGGCAGTCACCAGGTAGGTGGGATTTTCTTCTTGATTTGTTAAGATCTGGCTTCTCTTGCCTTGTGAAAGTGTGTGTGTGTGTATGTGTGTGTGTGTGTGTGTGTGTGTGGCTTTGGTTCTTTCCTTTTTTGTTAAGTTTATTGGTACATTTTAGGTATACTTGTAGGGAATTTGTACCTGTACATGATATAATTTGATTCTTTTTTCCCCATTCCCCTTCCCTCCCTTCAACCTCTCTTCCTCTCCTTATTTACAAAAGCTTTGTTTCCATTATTTTCTTCTTTTCAAATCAGTTTTTTCTTTTCCTTTCCTTCCTTTCCCCATCCCTCCTCCCTAGTTCCCCTTCCCATTTAAACATTTTCTTCCCATTTCACAGTACCTAAAACACATTCTGGTCCTTATTTATACTTCCTGTTTCTCATACAAGAGAAACAACGAGGTATTTACACATGTGTGGCTAATTTATTTCACTTAAGAGAATGGTCTTCGGGTGCATTTATTTAGTTAGAAATATCTCAAGCTTGGGGCTGGGGATTTAGCTCAGCGGCAAAAGCGCCTGCCTGGCAAGCGCAAGGTCGTGAGTTCGGTTCCCGGTACCGGAGAAAAACAAAAAAAAAAAAAAAAAAAAAATCTCAAGCTTATCCTTTTTTTATGGCAGAGTAGTACTTCATTGTATAAAAAACAAACCACCTGTTCTTAATCCATTCATCAGTTGATGGGCATTTGGGTTGTTACCAAGATTTAGCTATGACAAACTGTGCTGCTATAACTATGGCTGTGTATATATTGCTGTGGTATTATGCTTTAATTCTTTTGGGAAGATACCAAGAAGAAGAATAGCTGGGTTGAAAGGAACCTCTAGTTTTTTGAGGAATCTCCACACTGATTTTCACATTGGTTGCACCAGTCTAAACTCACACCAACAGTGGGGAAGGGTTCCTTTTTCCTCACAGCTCCACAAGCATTTGTTGTTGGTTGATTTCTTGATGATAGTCATTCTTTTGGGGGTAAGATGGAATCTCAGTGCTGCTTTAATTTGCATTTCATTAATGACCAATGATGTTGAACATTTCTCATATATTTATGTGCAATTTCTACTTCTTCATTCAAGAAGTGTCTATTTTCTTTCAGACACCCACTTTTGGACTGGGTATTTAAATTTGGAGGACCTGATTTTTTTAGTTCTTTATATGGCCAGATAGTAGTCTTTTGTCTGAAGAAGAACTGGTAAAATTGTTTCCCATACTGTGGGTTGTGTCTTCACTCTGTTGGTGGTTTGTTTTGCTGTGCAAAAGCTTTTTAATAAGATAAGATCCCAGTTGTTGAATATTTGTGATAGCTCCTGTGTGACTGGGGTTTTGTTCATAAAGCGTGTGCCTACACCAAGAGTCTTCAAGAGTTCTACCTATTCTACCCTCCAGCATATTTAGTGTTCATATTTTAACATTTAGATCTTTGATCTATTTCGATTTTAGTTTAGTTCATAGTAAAAGATATAGATCTAGTTTTAATCTTCATGGTGTGGAAAGTCAGTTTTCCTAGCACTATTTGTTAAAGAAGCCATCTTTCTTTTAGTGCAGGTATTTGGCACCTTTGTCAAAGATAGGTAGCTAAGTATGTCTGGAGTTGTTTCTGAATCTTCTAATCTGTTCCATTTACACCTCAGATCTGTCTTTTGCCTGTCCCATGCTGTTTTTATCACAGTAACTTTGTAGTGTAGTTTCAAGGTAGGGATTGTGATATTCCCAGCCTTCCCTTTGCTGCCTAGAATTGCCTTTGCTATTCTGGGTCTCTTCCACTTCCAAATAAATTTTAGGAGAGTTTTCTCTAATTCAGTGAGATATGCTGTTGGAATTTTGAACAAAATTGCATTAAATCTGTATAACAATTTTGGAAGTATGGCCATTTTCACTATATTGGTTTTTCTTACTCAAGAACAAGGGATATTTTTCCATTTTCTGATATTCTCTTCAATCTCATTTTTCAGAGTACTGTAGTTTTCAATGTAAAAGTCTTTTACTTCCATTTAATTGATTCCTTGGTATTTCATGTTTTTGGATGCTATGGTGAAAGGTGTTATTTCCCTAATTTCTCTCTCAGTGAATTTGTTTTTCCTGTACAGGAAAGCTATTGAGTTTTGAGTGTTGATTTTATATCCAGACTGAATGTGGTTATTAAATCTAGATGTCTGGGTGGAGTTTTGGGGTTTGTCTCTGTAGAGTATCATGTCGTCTCCAAACAATGATAATTTAGCTTTTTCCTTTCCTATCCTGATTCCTTTTATTTCTTTCTCTTGTGTAATTGTTCTGGCTAATGTTTCCAGGGCTATATTGAATAAGAGTGGTGACAATGGACATCATTGTCTTATTCTTGATTTTAGAGTGAAAGCTTTCATTTTTTTGTCCATTTAGTATTATGTTGGCTGTTTGTTATATGTAGTGTTTGTCAGATTGAGATGAAGACTATCTATACAAATTTTCTGTAGGTTTTTATCATTGGACTTTGTCAAATGTTTTTATGCATCTATCGAGATGATCATATGGGTTTTCTCCTGGAATCTGTTAATATACTGTATTATACTTATTGATCTGCATATGTTGAACCATGTCTGTATCTCAAGGATGAGTCCTACTTGGTCACAGTATGTAATCTTCTTGATGAGTTGTATTCTGTTTGCCAGTATCTTCCTGAGAATTTTTGCATCTGTGTTCATTAGGGAGATTTGCCTGTAATTTTCTTTCTTTGTTGGTCCTTTCCTGGTTTTGCTATCAGGGTAGTGCTTGTTTCCAGGAATGACTTTAGGAGTATTTCTTCCTTTTCAATTTCATTAGAGAGTTAGCAGTATTAGCTCTTCTCTAAATTTCTTGTAGAATTCAGCAGTGTGTCCATCAGATGCTGAGTTTTTCTTGTTTGGTAGGTTTTTAAGTACACTTTCAATTTCATTGAGTGATATTAGTTTATTTAGAATTTTTAACTTTTCTTGATTCAACTTTGGTAATTCTTATGTATCTAGGAATATGTCCATTTCTTCTGCATTTCCATCTTATTAGAATGTACTTTCTTCAAGTGGATATAGATAATCTTTCGGATTTTTGTAGGATCTGTTCTGATTTTACCCTTTTCATTCCTAATTTCACGGATTTGAGTCTTTTCTTTCCATTTTTAAATAAGGTTACCTAAGGATTTATCAATTTTATTTAATCTTTCAAAGAATCAACTCTTTAATTCATTGATTCTTTGTATTGTTTTCTTAGCTTCAATTGCATAAATTTCTGCTCTGATCTTAATAATATTCTCCCTCATATGAGCTTTGGGCTTGACTTGCTCTTCTTTTTGTAGAATCTTGGGGTTCAACATCAAGTTGTTTACTTGAATTTGCTGTTTTCCTGATATGGGTATTCACTGCTATAAATTTCCCACATAGGACTGCTTTCATTGTGCCCCATTGTGCCCCTAGTATATTGTATTGGAATTACTGTTTATTTGTAAAAACTGTCTAATTTCTGCTTTAGTTTCATCTGTGCCCCATTAGTTATTCAGTAGGGTTTATTTAATTTCCATGTGTTTATGACTTTTTTGGTTTCTTTTGCCATTGATTTCCATTTTCATTGCACTGTGTCTAATAATATGCATAGGGTAATTTCAATTCCTTTGCATTTACTTAAGCCTAGTCTTTGAGCTAACATGCATTCTATTTTGGAGAATATCTTGTGTGCAGCTGAGAAAAATATCCCTTGTTTTTGAGTAAGAAAAACCAATATAGTGAGAATGGACATACTTCCAAAATTGTTGTAGGATGAAACACTGTAGACATCTACTAAGTCCACTCATTCAAAAGTTTGGTTCAGTTCTAATATTTCAGGGTTGATTGTTTGCCTAGTTGATCTATGTATTTGTGACAAGGGGCTATTGAGGTCCCCCATTACAATTGTATTAGTGCTTATTTGAGTTTTCCTTTCCATTAATATTTGTTTTACATAGTTGGGTGTGCTGGTATTTGGTGCATATGTGTTTATGATTGTTATCTCTTCCTCTTGGGCTGTTCCCTTTACAAGGATGTAGTGACCTTCTTTGTCTCTCGTACTCAGTCTTGGCTTGAAATCTACTTTCTCTGCAATTAGAATAGCTTCCCTTGCTTTTTTAGGGTTCCTGTCACATGGAGTATTGTATTCTATGACTTTTAGTCTATGAATTTCTTTTTTAATCAAATGTGTTTCTTGAATGTAGCATATTGCTGGATCTTGCTTCTTAATACTTTCTGTTGCTCTGTTCCTTTCGATTGGTGAATTGAGACCATTAACATTGATGATTATAGTTGATATATACTGACTTATCCTTGTCATGTTATTTTCCTGTTATTGGCTTCTTTTTATACCGTAAGTTTAATTGTTTGCCTTGCCTGGTGGATGCCTTCCATTAGGGTTTATGGGGTTGTAGCCTTGTTAGTTCTTTTTAGAATGTCCTTTAGAATATTTTGGAGTGCTATTTTGGTGTTTATGAATTTCCTCAGGTGTTCATTTTCATGGAAATATATTCTTTCTCCATCAATTTTGAAAGATAGTTTTGTGGGCTACATCAGTCTGGGTTGGAGGTTGTTTTCTTTTAGGGATTGAAATACTTCACTTCAAGCTGTCCTTGACTTGAGGGTTTGTGTTGAGAAGTCTGCCATGATTCTGATGGGTTCTTTTACAGGTGGTTTGTTTCTTTTCTCTAATGGCTTTTTAATATTCCATTCTTGTGTTGAATTTCCGGAATCTTGACTATTATATGCCCAGTTGTATACTTTCTGATCATAGATAATTGGAATTCCATATGTCTCACTTATGTGTATATCAAATTCTTTTTCCCTGTCCAAGAAGTTTTCTTCCATGATGTCTCATTGCACCCTGGGTTTGCCTTTGGTGAGCTAAATGGCTGGGGTTGCATCTGGGTTTGGAATGAGACATCTGGAAAATATCTTGTCATTTTCTTTTTTTTAAAGTTTAATTCTTGCATTGATGCTTGAAATTGCC